GGAGGGAGGGAGGGAGGGAGGGAGATAGATAGATAGATATAGGTGTGTGTTTGTGTGTGTTTGTGTGTGTATGTGTGTATGTGTGTATGTATGTATGTATGTATGTATGTATGTATTTATTTAGTGTCACAACCCCTGATATGCCCAAATATGGGAGGAAGCCTACTGTTTCCTTTCTCTGTCTATCGGCTCGTCATAAGAGACCATCCAGACAGAAACCCAATATTTTTACTGTTGCCTTTGTTACATTTGTGTATACATATATATATGTTCATAGTTTTTCATGGGTGTAGGTATTCTGGTCTTGTATTCGAGTCTTTTCCCATGTATGATTGAGACATGAGACGTGTAACGTTGTCAAGACAATCTCAATCTTACACAGGAAAAGACCCGAATACAATAAGACCAGCATATATATAGGCCCAGTATATGTATATGTATGGATAGAATAACAAGAATTGGAAGGGACCTTGGAGGTCTTCTAGTCCAACCACTTCTCAAACAGGTGACCCTACACCATTTCAGACAAGGGGTTGTCCAGTCTCTTCTTAAAGACTTCCAGTGTTGGGGCATTCACAGCTTCTGGAGGCAAGTTGTTCCACTGATTAATTGTTCTAACTGTCAGGAAATTCCTCCTCGGTTCTAAGTTGCTTCTCTCCTTCATCAGTTTCTACCCGTTGCTTCATATTTGAATGATGCAGACCCCAGACTCACCATCAGGGTGATCATGATGGGCAGCCCGTACGTGATCTCGTTGGTGGACTCGATCAGGATAACGGTGAGGCTGATGGTCATGCGGACTACCCCGCCCAGGAAGGCAGCCGCTCCGATCAACGCAAAGGTGCCAGAGTAGACGTGATCCAGGCCAATGTAGCTGGGAGGAAGGAAGGAAGGAAGGAAGGAAGGAAAGAAGAGGGTTACGAGGTGGTCTTCGGAGCCAAGGGGGAGCGAGGGCTAAGGCTCTGCCCGGGGGAAAGCAAAACCCACGAAAGCCAAAGAGGGCACCTTTCCAGCAGGTTGGCCACCAGGCGTCCGTAAGAGGCCCCGCAGAGCAGCGATGGGACAAAAAGACCACTCGGCACAGAAATCCCGTAAGTCCAGCAGGATAGCAAGAAGTAGAGGAGGAAAAAGAGAGAGAGGGTGACAGGGCTGAAGGTACCTGGAAAACAGGAAGGGAAACAGGAAAGGGGGGTTGAGCAGCAGCTGAAGACCAAAAGCCAAGCCCAGCCAGCACCTCTTTGGCTTGGAGCGACCGTCTCATCCCACTGGGATTGGACTGTACCTCCAGGAGGCCTGCCAGGGTTCCTGCCAGCCCGATTATTCCATCTGGCCGGGTCCAGGAGGAGGACTTTTCTCGGCTGTGGCTCCTGCCCTCTGAAACACCTCCCTCCCCCTACCTGATATGAAGTCGGCCCAAACCATACTGGCCTGAAGACTTGACTGTGCCTGCCGGTTTGCGGGGACCCGCACAATGGAGGGGGGTTGATTGAGTAATAACAGATCCCACCTCCACCCTGCGCTCTCCCCAGATGCCTTTGATTTTAATGTCTGATTTTAACTTTATGTCACTGTGAGCCACCCAGAGTTACCCTGTGGCCGGGGTGTCAAACTCATGGCCTGTGGGCCGGATGTGTCACACACTGGCCACGCCCATGCCTGGTTTAGCAAAGGGGGAAAAAGTCGTGATATGTCACGCGATGCTGCCATGATGGTGTGAACTTAATACCCCGGCCCTAGGGTAAGATGGGCAGCCAATTGTATGTTTGTATGGTGTTTTCCTGAAAATAAGACCAGGTCTTATTTTCCTTTTGGCCCCAAAATAAGCACCATGTCTTATTTTGGGGGGATATCTTGCCCACTTACCTAAAGACCACTGCAGCCAGGCTTCCCATACCCCGATACCTGTTGCGTTGCTGCCCGACTTCTGCGGCCACTTGCAGATGGACATCGTGTGGCTCATCGTGCTGGTGCAGCTGCTGGCAGGACACTGTGTGGTGTGTTGTGTTCTTGCGCGCACAAGTGGCTTCACCGGTGCAATGAGCCTTGCGTTCTGCCACGAGCAGCTGCACTGGCGCAATGAGCCTCATGGCATCCGGAATGTGGGAGGCCTGGCTGCGGCGGTCCTAACAATAAGCGGGTGCGGGGTGCGTGGGGCAGCTCCACCCCCCCACTCCGCTTGACTTTTACGCCTGTGCCTCACCTTACCTTGTACAACCAAATGGTGGGCAGGGCTTAACCAGGACTTATTTCAGGGGTAGGGCTTATATTAGGCACAGGTGCAAAAAATCAGGCTAGGGCTTGTTTTGGAGGTAGGTCGCATTTTCCGGGAAATACGGGATGTATGTATAAATCAATCAATCGATCGATCAGCTTGCAAGCAGTTTAGGCCAGCAAAATTAAGGTGGCACTGGTTCAAACCCAATACGAGCATAGGGGTGGGTCAGTGGTGGGTTCCTCCCGGTCCGGTCCAGCCATACCAGTGGTGGTTTCCTCCCGGTCCGGTCCAGCCATACCAGTAGTAGCCGGGAGCAGCTGACAGTGTACCGGTACGGTGGCTCGTTTGGCCCACCTGCCCATCCGCGTTTTTTAAAGCAACCGGCCAATTGCGCACGCGCGCACAACATGTGGTACCTGCGCAAGCTCCAACAAGCAGCTGGGTGTCATAGGGGCAGTGGCATGTGTGCGCAGTGTGTGTGTGCACCAAAGGTCGAGCGGCCCAGTGAGCATCGTACCGTTAGCGGTGGGGAGAGGAACCCACCACTGGTGTCAGTGGAAGTTTACTTAATTCTAAGATCAATTCAGCCAACCGCTTCTCTTTCCACCATAATCTCCCAGCCAATAGGGTGATCCGAATGGATCTCCGCGAGAAGACGGACAACAGGAAAGGTCTGTTTTCGTGCCAGAGAAAGCAAGACAGGGTAAATTGAACTGCTAGCCCACTGGGGTGGGGGGGGCAGGGAAGGAGAACTTACAACCTGCACGATTTCCTGTGTTTTCACACTCCTTCCAAATGGTTTAGGTGCTCTAAGTGTGTGAACTGCCTGGAAGCTGTTGGCCACCTTGGAGAATTTATTTACCATATTTTTCGGAGTATAAGACACACCAAGGTTTTGGAGAGGCAAATTAAAAAAAAAAGTTTTTGCACATTCTGCAAACCTCCCCAAAACGGTCCATTTTTTGTGAAAACGGGCCCATTCCCCCCCCCCAAAAAAAACCGGCACTGATAGCCTTTAGGAGGCTTGTAGAGTGCTCTTGGGGGCTGGGGGGGGGACAAAATTGAGCAGAAAAAGGCCCTTTTTTTCGCAAAAATGGGCCCATTTTTTGTCAAAAAAAGGGCATGGATAGCCTTTAGGAGACTTATAGAGTGCTCTTGGGTGCTGGGCAAAATTGAGAAAAAAATGGCCCATTTTTCGCTCATTTCTGCCCTTCCCCAGTCCCTAAGAGCTCTCTGAAAGCCTCCTAAAAGCTATGCATGGCCATTTTGGTGAAGGGGGTGTGGCTTCGGGAGGCAAAAAGTGCTGTATTCAGTGTACAAGCTGCACCCAGATTTTCCCTCATTTTTTTGAGGGAAAAATGTGTGTCTTATACTCTGAAAAATACGGTACTCCTGAAATTCCTTAAAAATGCATGTCCCTCAAGCCAGGAATTCCAAGGCATGAAAACCCCAGTTCCTTGAATTTCACCTTGGATTAGACTTCTCCAAATTTCTAACCAGGAGCCCCTGCCCAACCCATCGAGGAAGGCAAGCATAAAAGCAGATAAAATAGCCCGTTCTTTTCCGTGCAGCTCCGGTATGAGCAGAGCTGGGTCAGGGACTTACCCTCCTGGTGAAACAGTTGTAAGATGGCCGACTCTTGAGGGTTGAAGAACAGGGTTGCCATGTCATTGTAAGTATTATTGTGACAGAAGAATGTCTTGATGCTTGAATTCACCTCCTCCGATGAAGAATCCTTGGCAGAAACAAGCACCACGTTTAACTCCATTTCCAAAATCATGTCCAGCATCCCTAAAAATTTACTTCCCAAGGTCCCTGGATGGCTGCACCCTTTCGAGATGGAACCTTCTCTCGGGAATGTTCTAAGGTTTCTATCTCTTGGTTTCAAAATTCAATATTTTTCCCGCTAAGTGGAAGTACAGGCAACCCTCGATTCATTTAGGGACCAAAGTTACAACAGCACTGAAAAAGAGTGACGTATGACCATTTTTCACACTTAATAATCATTGCAGCATCTATTCGTGGCCAAAATTCCAACCTTTTGACAAGCAAAATCAGCGGGGAAGCCTGATTCACTTTAACAACCGTGATGCTAACTTAACGACTGCAGGGAGTCACTTAACAATCATTAAAGGGACTGACCCTGAAGAGCATCCGGAAGCTGCAGCTGGTACAAAATGCAGCAGTCCGCCTGGTTTTGTGCATACCCTGGTGTGTACATGTATCACCTCTGATGTGGGAATTGCATTGGCTGCTGATTTGCTTCTGGGTGTAATTCCAGATGCTAGTTGTCCCTGTTGTGGGACGTCAGCAGAGCTGGCAGCAGACTCAAGACAGTGAGATGGTTGGGAAGGAACAAGGGGCAGTCCTGGAGTCTGGGGAAGGCTCGGATGAGGGCTTTGTGTCGGAGGCACAGAGGGGGCCAGGGCCGTCTGACAGATATCAGCTGCCTTCAGAGTCAGACATCAGTGAGGCAGAAGAACAGCTGGAGTCTGTTCCCAGTGTGCGCAGGTGCAGAGTTGCCAGATGAAGGGAACAGCTAAGGAACAGGGGTCGACTTGGGAGGAAGGCCACAGGTGGGCGGTGAATGGCCCCTCCCAGAGGAAATAAAAGAGGAGCGAAAAGGGAGTGGAGTTTGCAGGAGACAATTTGTTCATTCCTGCATTCTTGCCAAGTATCGGCCTGGCCACTCTCCAAGCCCGATAAAGGTTGGCAATTGTGAACTATCTTGAAAGACTGTGGACGGGGACTTTCCTGGAGAGGAATTCAATGTCAATTAAATAAAAGGGGTTTATCAGGACAAGCACTTGACTTTGTGCTGCTATGGAAGCCTAGGTCATAACAGTCCCCTTTAAAACCCTTCATGGCTCGGGACCAAGTTATCTGAGGGACTGTCTCTTCTCGGTCACATCTACCTGGCCCACCAGAGCGGGGAGGCAAGAAATGTTGCGGATCCTGTCCACTAAAGAGATGCATCTGGCTGGACCCAGAAGAAGGGCCTTCTCCGCGGTGGCTCCCTCTCTCTGGAACATCATCCTTTTGGAAATTAGACTGGTCCTCACTCTCAGACTCTTTCAGGAGGCCCCGAAGATGCGATTCTGCCAGAAGGCCTTCATCAGAAGAGATGAAGCCCTTTAAATGGCTGGTATGAATGTGTGTTGTCACCGGGGAGGGGGTTAATTATTTTACTATGTTATTAATTTATTCTTCTTTTTATTTTAATGTACTCTCATACATTAAAACATGCACATCAACAACGGCTGGTGACCTCTTTCTATCGGTCCACCATAGAAAGTGTCCTCACATATTGCATTACAGGATGGTATATTGGTTTAATAGCTGCGGACAGGAAGGGCCTACAGAGAGTGATCAATTCGGCACAAGAAACCATTGACACCACTGGAGGACATTGCCAGATCTCGCTGCTTTAGAAGAGTAAGGAAGATACTCGGAGATGATTCACACCCTGCTCAGTGTCTCTTTGTGCTTCTACCATCAGGCAGAAGGCATCAAAGCATAGCCAGATGAACAAACAGGTTTAAAGATAGTTTCTATCCTTGGGCTGTGAGACTTTTAAAGACAACCACAATCACTCCATGCACACGCTAGGTTTTTTCCCTTTTTCTTTCTTTTCTCGTTTCCGCTATAAGTTTGCACCAGTGAGGCTAAAACCAATTTCGTTGTATTTATTTTGTACTATGACAATAAAGACTCTGCTATTTCTTTTATATGGTTTTGATATCCCTGTGAGCCACCTGGAGTCGCCATGTGCAAGCAGGCGGCAAGATACCTTTTCTAAAATCGATGCATAAGTACATTCTTGATAAAACCGTTATCAAGAAAGGTTGCAAAATTCACTTAACAAATGCTCACTTAGCAACAGACATGTTGGGCTCAATTGTGGTTGTAAGGCAAGGACTTCCTCTATCTATCCTCTAAATCAGAGATCTCCAGCCTTCGCAACGTTAAGATTTATAGACTTCAACTCCCAGAATTCCCCAGCCAGCCAGCACGGTATCCAACCTGCAGCATGGCTGGCTGAGGAATTCTGGGAGTTGAAGTCCATAAGTCCTAAAGTTGCCACGGTTGGGGACGCTTGCTCTAAAAGGGAGCTCCCTCCCCCTGAGACACCCCCCCCCCCAAGGTCCCTTCTCTGAAGGTGAAGGACACCTTGTGATGGGGCTCTACAACCGTTTCCTGGGGCAACCTTCAAAAGGGTTTCAAACGGATTTTTAAAAACCCAGAGGTGACACTGAGATGCACATCCATCTTTGAGGCACGTAAGCATGAAACGCTCTCCACCCACCTGCAGGCTGAAAGAGGAGCTGTTGTCTCCGTGGTCAGCGGAAGAGAGCGGACGGCATTCCCCAAGAACCATCGAAGCGACAAATATCACAAGCGTGGTTGTCAGGCATACTAAAAGGCTCTCCAGGACTCTGCAAAGCAACGTAAAACATATGAGAAACACGTGTGGTTTGGAACGCCACGCCGACGTCCCGAGAAGTCACAGAGGCTGAGATACCTGTCAGAATATTCATAAACTGGCAGAGACATGGTAACAAGGTCAGCCAATGAACAGGCGTGGTAACAAGTCAGCCCAATGGGAACTATTTGGTGACTGAAAGCCGTGCCAGACAGCTTGGAGCCTGGGCGTGGCTTACCTATTGTAGCTCTGAGTCTGTGCAAGAGAACTAATCTAGTCTACTCTCTGAATTGAAGCTGGAAATCTCAATATCTCCTCTCTTCCACATTGGAGACTCCACTACTGGTATTGTACATTTACTCATGTGTTATTATGTATATAAATAAGTGAATGAATCCTGCTGAATCAGTGATCACTGCGTCTGCTTTCTGGATGTGATTTTTCTGCAACCAGCTCTGACAATACCCACCGCCCCTCCCTCCAGCTGAGCTAGGGGACCCCAAAACCCTTGATTTGAGGTGCAGGTAGTCCACAAAAGAGCCCAAAACCTCTGTTGTTAAGTGAGACATATGTTAAGGGAATATTGCCCCGTTTTATGACCTTTCTTGCCAAAGCTGTTAGGCGAAGAGAATCTGGCTTCCTCGTGGACTTGGCTTGCCAAAAGGTCGTAAAAGAAGATCACAGCGATGTCTGTAAAAATGGAACCAGTTGCCAAGCGTCTGAATTTTGATTGCATGATCAGGGGAAGGCTACAAAGGTTGCAACGGGTGAAAAATAGTCCCAACTCACTTTTTTCAGTGCTGTTGTAACTTTGAGTGGTCACTAAATGAACTGTTGTAAGTGGAGGATTAACTGTAGTGAAGATGCACTGGTGAGTTTTCTCTCCATTGCGCCCAAGGCAACATGGGAATAGTTTCCCTCACCCTTGCCCATAGCTCCCCCTGTATACAGAAAATGAAGTACAGGTATCCTCGACTTACAACCCTTCTGTTTAATGACCAAACTTACAACGGAGCTGAACAACGTGGCTTATGGCCATTTTTCACACTTACAAACCACCCTCATGGGATCAAAATTCAGACGCTTGGAAACTGACTCATATTTCTGGCCGTTGCCATGTCCTGGGGTCATGCGACCTCCTTCTGCGACCTTCTTGATAAGCAAACTCCACGAGGAAGCCAGATTCACTTAATTACGTGTTATTGACCTAAGGAGCACAGAGATTCATTTAACGACTGTGGCAAGGAGGGTGGCAAAATGGGGCAAAACTCACTTAACAACGGCCTTTGCTTAACAACAGAAATATGGGGGGCTCAATTGTGGTTGTAAAATGAGGACTACTTGTATAGCCCCTTCCTCTTCACCCCAATACACCCTGGTACCCCAACAACAGCTATTGTCACATATGTGCCTGCCTTCTCTTGGTTTACACAGTGTGAAGCAGAATAATGGAGTTGGAAGGGACCCTGGAGGTCTTCTAGTCCAACCCTCTGCTTAGGCAGGAAACCCTATACCATTTCAGACAAATGGTTGTCCGATCTCTTCTTTAAAACTTCCAAGTGTTGGAGCATTCACAACTTCTGGAGGCAAAGGGCCAGGCTTCAAAGTGTCTTGAAAGACCAAACACGGCAGAAAGATCAATCAAGCAGAATAGTCTCGGAAGGGACCTTCGAGGTCTTCTAGTCCACCACCTGCTCAGGCAGGAAACCCTCTACCATTTCAGACAAGTGACTGTCCAGTTCCTTCTTAAAAATCTCCACTGTTGGAGCCTCCACATCTTCTGGAGGCAAATTGTTACACTGAATAATTGTTCTAACTGTCAGGAAATTTCTCCTTAATTCTAGGTTGCTTCTCTCCTTGTTTAGTTTCCACCCACTGTTCTACCCTCAGGTGATTTGGAGAGTAGCTTCTCCTCCTCTTCTTGGGGCAGCCCCTCAAATATTGGGACACTGCTATCATGTCTCCCCTAGCTCTTATTTTCATTAAACTAGACATAGCAATAGCAATAGCCCATAGACTTATATACCGCTTCACGGTGCTTTTACAGCCCTCTCTAAGCGGTTTACAGAGTCAGCCTCTTGTTTCCCCCAACAATCCGGGTCCTCATTTTACCCACCTCGGAAGGACGGAAGGCTGAGTCAACCTNAGTATTTAAGGCTTTGCTCTCAGTCTTTGGACCAATCAGGCTTTGAGAAAACCCACAGGTGACCACTCCCTTCCCTCCTCTGGAAAACAACACAGACTGATTAGCACAGATTAACTAGGAAGCAAAAAATATTTAGGGTCCTGTTGTATTTAGGCTGAAGCCTGAATCGTAGCACTCTTTGTAATCCATTTCTTTAGATTCTTTATTTCATCTGTCCCAAATTTTAACAAAAAACAAAACAAAACAAAACAAAACCCAATGTAGTGGATATTAGAAGGTCAATAGCTGTGACATGTAGGTCCAAATAAAACAGTTGCCTTTGGATAATTAATTCCCAATTATCCTTTCTACATGACCCACATATGTGGATCACAAGCTCCTGTCTGCTCCCCCTGTTTGCCTCCAGTTCAGTTCACATCCTCATACACCACTCTTTCCTTGAAAATGAGATATATATCTTGTCTGAGTTTCCTGCACCACAGCTACTTTATTTACTGTATTTTACTATGTACTTAATGTTGTAGAAGGCACAGTAAACAAAGTAAGAACAAGACACGTGCCTGCCAAGACAGCCTGCAATCTAAAATAAATGTACAAATAATGGCAACAGGCTGTGCTCTGCAGAATAAGAATGAAGTGTTTAGCATCCTTCCCCCCACCCAACCGTGGAAAACAAGAGAGAGAGATTGGATGCAATGAACGTACAGCCTCCATTCAGTCACAAAAAATGAGTTTGCCCATGATAACCCAAATTGAATTGAATTGAATATTTTCACCTAAGGCTACATAAATGGTAGCCAGAAATCTTTGCGCAATGGATCACTTTTCTTGGATGAAATAACTGTGCTGGACAAATTTCACTGGCACACTATTCTTTAGATACTACTCGTAATCTAACCTGCTAGGAAAGTTTCGATCAACTGTTTTGGATGGAATATCAAATCCCACTAATATTTCTTTGCCTGCTCCTAAAACAGGAAAAGTTACTGATCTTCAAACCATGTTTTCTGCACAGCTATAATTCTGGAGATATTTCTCTTGTCTACCTCCTTTTCTTTTAAGAGTTCTTCCCCAGAGCTGGAAGAGCAAAGTGAGATGAAAACAGCTATACATTTTTTTTCTTTTCTTTTTTTCTTTTCTCTCTCTTTCTTTCTCTCTCTCTCTCCTGTGTTCTTTGATTGGATGAGCTGCAGAAATAATAAAATCAACCTTTTGTCAATGAAATAAAATGGTAGATTATCTGCTTTCTGCTAAAATAAGAAAAAAATCAACTGGATGTTTCCTTTTAAGGAAAAGAGATATGAGAAAAAGGAGATGGGTCAATAAAGGAGAGAGGCAGCTAGGCTCAGTAGAAAGGAGGAAACGAAAAAGGGATGTGTATATATATATATATATATATATATATATATATATATATATATATATATATATATATATATATA